CATCAGAAGTAAAATCTTAATTTAGGGCGTTAAATTTGACTATGAATGAGGGAACAATAAAGAGGAAATGAGTATTTAGGGAAAATAGCACCAAGAACGATCACGTGAAATTAATGCAGTACGTTCTGTCTCTTGTGAAAAAAATACGAAAATCTATTACAACGGATTATCAATAAGAAACTCAGCAATAACATATCATTAATCCTTAATAATAACTTGTTTTTTGACTTACTTTCCTGACGCATTCGTATTGCAGCTGCACTTCTTTTATCTATTGGGCTCACAGATCTACCGCCTTGTCTTACGCCAGTCGTGCCGCGAACTACTAATCCTGAACATTGAATCAATTTTACAAAGCTCACTAACGAATCACCATTGGTAAAAGTAATTATGCTAGCCAATATACCTCAGAAAGGGAGATTTAATTCATAAATGAGACTAGTTCTCGGATTCTGTACTTCGCAAGATTCTCTTTAAAAATAGGCACTACACACATACCACATGAAGTTAACAACAGGAAGGGCGAAAATCGGCACAAAATTCTGACAACCACAGGTTCGGGGATAAAACTTAGGAAGGGAAAAAGAAACCTAGGCATATTCGGCAAGTCCATTTCATTTTGCCGACAGAATAACGTTGAAATCAGGCAGAACCGCAACACCTGCACCAAGCGATACAAGTAGGAAATAAGACTACGCTCGGAAAATTCGAGCGTATGTGAGAAGTATGAGTGACAAACCATGCTTTCGCATCATGCTTGCGTTTTGCATGATTTGCTTCGTGCGAGCGGTATTACCCTCTGGCATTTTGATGTGGTAGATTTCGTGACGATCCGGAGGAGGTCGTCCCTTGCGCTGGTCGCTACTTCCAGATCCATTCGACGACTTTTCTACTCCTAAATTGAAAACATCAAATTATTCTTGCACGAGAAACCTCAAAAAATGCAAACATACATGCAAGAAAATCTCAAACAATTTGTATGAAATGGTGACGCTTTGCAACTTTACCAAAAAAAAACTCAAACACAAATAACTCGGATAAAGTCAGCCCTCTAATTATACGAAGAATAAAGGAAAATAAAGAAAGCAGTACTGAAAAGCAGAGGGAAATTGATGAGACATAGGTGGCTTTGCTAATCACCATGAAACTGAACCGCAAAGAATCTTTCCACACCACATCCAATTTTCCGTATCTGGAGAGAGGATATGGCCTTCCCTAGGATAACCTATCTCTAATGGACCATGCACTCGACTTCCATTCACAGTCCTAGCAAATGTATGCGACTCTCTGTATACAATGCATTGGAAGCCTAGACATTGAAAATCATTATTTTCCTGCTCTCAGACAAGTCTTGCACCAAATAAAACACCAGGAGGAGTGGGATGCGTTACAAAGACCGGAAATTAGAGGTGTGGCCCAACAAGTGGTATGGGCATTTATCAACAGAAGACACGTAGCTAGAAAAGATGAATGAGAACTCATAGAAAGTACAATGAGACTATGACTCATATGTGTTAGTTAATTATACAAGAGTGCTACGAAAAACTCACCAGCTTTTGGTCCTGGGATGTGTACGCGAAGTTTTTCCGGCGAATCAGCCTCCATTTCGTAAGTTTCATCTTTTGCATGCTTCAGAATCGCTAACTGTAACACCATTTCATGAAAGCTTCTCGAATCAGCGTGTTTCACCAACATGAAATCCCCTCAGACTTTGGACAACTGAGCAGAAAATCAACAAGCTTACTTGGTCGCCAACTGCTGTCACGCCCAAATCAGCCAATGTAGCCTTGTCGAGGTCGGGGAGCATATCCTTCGAAACCCTTAATAGAAAAGTTAACAACTGCATCACTGAAAGGAACAGCGTAACATTAAACCAACATTACCTATTTTGTCTGAAGATTTCTGCATAGCGAGACGCGATACTGGTCGGGATTCCAATCCTGACGAAGAAACTTTGCCAGTCCCACATGACTCCTGCTGCCTTAGAAAGACCATTATAAAGACACTTCAACCACGAGTGCATGTTTGAGCTGTATTGCCAAGTAAGCTTTCAAATAGTCGATTACGGTAATCCTTTCATAAATGAGGACATTCCAAAACAAGAATAACAGTTTATTACACCAAATGAAAATGCTCCAAAAAATATTGGACAATAATATCAGGTCAAATCACCGGAGATCGAGACTCACTCGTTCATAAATTGAGCTCGAAAAAAATTGACGATCCATATATACAACGCAGAACCTTTCCGAACGCATCTCAACTGCTATTCTCAGACCATGAGAACATCAAAGCAAACCCAAAGGTCCGCTTCTGTGCTTCTGTGTTCTTCTGGTACAGGAGGATATTGATTCGCTTTGAGCTCTCAAGATGTAAGAATAGCAGTTGAGTTGTGCTCCTAAAAGATCATACAAGTCAAAATTACGAAATAAATGCGCCGCTCAAGGCTTAAAGCTAAAGAACCCATATAAGAAATGAGGATAACATAAAATTCACGCTTACCCAAATAATATACATGCATTATCTATGTCAAAACTTTAAAGATACATTACGGAAGCAAAGCAAACTTGAATCCGATTTTAATTTCGAAAAAAAATAATGAGCAAAAATAAAAATGCCAGAGGCACTGCCAGTTCAAGGAAAACCTTTCGAAGGGATTATATCTATGGTCTGGTTCTTCGACGCTTGCTCGAAGAAGAACTGTCCACCAGCACAGTCTCTGGCAAATATTTTTCACGCTCCACTTCACTAGACTTCAAGGTGATCCAAACATTGAGAAGATAATTTTTCGGTCGCAGCATTTCCTCATGTTGTGAAACCCTGAAGGTAAGGTGAAATAGTGACCCGTTTCATACAACACTTCGAATATCGACACTCCTGCAAAGCAGATTGGAGCAAAAATTCATTCCCGCATGGACTGACAACATCCAGAACCTAAGCTGTTTATAGTAAAAAAAAAAGTCAGTCTGTGTTCCAAAGAACCCAAAATTACGATACGACAGTCAAGAAGCAGGAAAAAGAGATGGTGGCCGCATGCCGTGCATGCGTAGCGACACCGTTTCAAATTATCTACTCTAATCTGGACAATACAACAGTATGCATGGATAGACTTTTACGCAAGGATGAGACCTATAGAAAACGTAAGGTAGGGTTTAGGAAGAAAAACTAGATCAAGGATGTCTAGGAGTAGAAATGGTTA